GAAGCTGGCTGGTCCAGGGGCCACCTTAAGAGAAATACAGACAAAGAACATGCAGAAATGGTTCCCACAAGGAGAAACAAGTAGACTGAGCTTCTCCCAGGCTCACTGATCTCTCTTACCAGTATTTTTCACCTACACTCTAGGCATCTAATGACTTGATACTTGTCTTTGCAGCCACTGGTTCTGCCTTTTATCTTGTTCTGGGTCTTGCTCAATTCAGTCCTATAGTGGTACTGGCTTGGTACTAAAAAATTAACATATATGTTCAGGGTTGCTCAGACCTTTAAAGAATTAAAGAATGTATCACCCTTATAGCAGGACAGTCAATTCTTCCTGAATGCTTATTTTCAGTGTTATAGAGGTATTTAGAAACCAAACTCAAGTAAGAAAAGAGGATGGAAACTATACATGTACACATTGCACTCAGCATTCAGACACAGAAATATCTGCTAGCAATTCTTTCCAGGAAGTATGTTTCTTCTGCTTTGGGCAGGGCTTTATAAATCTAAATCCAGTGTGAACATAAGTGGATGGATTACCTGAAATTTCCTATGATCTCATCTCACATGGTACTTTAATGGCCAAAATAATCAAAAGCAATTTTCAACATTTAACAGTAAGTAACTCTTTTTAAATTCTGGAACTTAATGACATTAACTGAGGCAGAACCATTTAAGAACACCAAAGGAAAATGTCAATTATAACACACAGCAGGGACTGTCAATGAAGTTTGTGCTAGAAACCATAAATCTATGTCTTAACATTAGTAGAGTATTATTTGTTCAGTAAGTCCAGTCTGTTAGCCTTCTGCCTGGAGGTTATGAAAATGCTTGCAGTTGCTAACTGAAGTTAATCACTGCTACTGGGGTACAGCAAAAAAAGGTGATCAACAAGGACACTGCCTGGATTGGCATTGAGAATACTAGTGCAGAACAAGGGGCACTGGATCTTTGAGCCATGCACATTTGACTATGGGTTCATAGAATTTCATGATTTTTCCTAATTATAGAATATATATCTACAGATAGCCTTAGAAGTCATAAAAAGCAGTGTATATATGCAGGCTGGTGGAGGGGCAAAACAAAAGTCATACCTTTCATTCAATCCTCCAGAACCAGAAAAACTTTAGCCTGAGCAGTAGGTCAAACTTTCAGGAAATCTTCTGGGCCAGTTACACATACATCAGCCCAACACATGTCAAATTTCACTTCTCATACCTGGCCATTGTTTCATGCCATGTCATACTAAACAGGTAGCGGTCACTCTCCAGTAGTTGAGGCAGCAAAGCCCTGTGCCTATAGACACAACCCTGGCTCAACCCTGCTTTGCCCCAGAGGTCCCTAGCAGAGCACACTGGAATGAAAAGGATCAGCCTACTCAGCAGAGACTTGGAGTGATAGGCTCCCTCACCAAATAAATCATGGTCACAGGCAGAGAGAAACCTGCAGCCTCAGGCTCATTATTTCAGTCCAGCTCCTTTCTATATTCTCTTCTGAAGCTTTATCAGTTGCTCATTCTACTGCCTCCTGAGTCAAGTTCAGTTTCCTTGAAAATGCCATTTTTCAGTCATATTTTGGAATGGTGATCTCTTTCCTAGATGCTCACATTTCACAAATGTAAGACCCCCCCCACCTTGATGCTCCCCAAAGTCATTTACTGTGCTCCAAATTGAGCAGTTCATTCAAGTGCCTGTCACCACTTTTCTTTGGAGAAGAAATGTGAGCAACTATGAAAGCCAACTACTTTGGTGACCTCCAACACAAGAGCAAAGAGATGATCCCCAACTTTTTTCCTCTTCTCCTTGTGGCTTTATGGCATGTGGTGTACAACATTAAATAGACACTGAGAGACACACCTATTTCTATCAAACTTGATCTACAAGGTAGGCCTCAAGGTCATATTTTAGATTGTGTCCATGAATAGGAATATTTATTCCTAAGAGTCCTATTTCCAACCTTATTATACAGGATGGCTATTTCTTTGTTTAACTAAAGCTCCAGACCACATCAGCAATGATTGTTGCATTAAAAATATGAATTGAGATAGGGCTCTCCTAAGAACTGACAAAATATATATGCAAGAAATATGGTTTTCATGTACAAGCTAGTGAAAATTTGCATGGGAGTCTGTATTCCCCATGTCTGTGGGACCTAGTACCCATCTGTTATAGTTTGTATCTGAAATGTCCCCCAAAGGTCCTTGTGTTGAAGGCTTGGTCTCCAGATGGTGGCTGCTACTGGAAGGTGAGGGAACCTTTAGGAGATGAGGCCTACACAGAAGAAGTAAGTCATGGGTGAGTGCCTTTGAAGTGTTTATTTTATCCCTGACCTCTTTTTCTTTTTCTTTCTCTACTTTCAGGCAGCCACGAGGTAAGCGGCTTTGTACCACCAACACCCTCCCTGCCATGATACTCTGCCTTCACTCAAGGCCAGAAATAATGCAGCCAAGTGACCATGGGACTTAAACCTTTGAAATAATGAGCCAAAATAAGTATTTCCACCATTAAGTTGTTTTTATCAGGTATTTTGTCACAGTGATGAAAAGCTGACTAATACACCATCCTATCAGTAATTACTGAAGATAAAGAAAAGACAGGTGTTAAAAGGTACCTGCAAATGCAAAGTTGGACTTTTGTGATTTAACTACAGAAGGGAGGTACTCTGCAGTGTAAAGAAGCACTGAGTTAAACAATATTGCTCTGACACATCATCTCATCAACATCTGTTGATAAATCTCCTCTAGTAAAGCAACTATTGCTGTAAGAAGTTTTCCCCTTGCTTCCATGCTTGATTAACTGAGCAATTTAGGGTAGTTATTCAAGAAACAAATTATACTTTTGTAGTCACAATATTTTGTTAAGCAAGATCATATTTAGTGCAGCTATTCTGGGTATAGCAGGCACAGGGTCAGAGGAACTTCTCTCCTTCCTGTCTACCAAGCGACTGAGTAAAATGCGCATCAGATTTTAGTAAAAGATCTCACTTCCCTTAAAGGAGCTAAATATCTTTCCTCCTTTTGTCTGATCTTCTTTTCTTTATATTTTTCCTTTTACTGGAGGGCAACCAAAGTTGTTGGTGGTGTGGGGGGGTCTTTTGCCCACCCACAACATCTCATTAGAAAAATACTTTTAAAAAGGGCTTGTTAACCCACAAGTCTGAAGCATCACCCATATATCTCATTATTGGTCCTTCCCTACATAGTTCCAGGAAGTTATGGGCTTCCAGTGTATACCTCCTAAGTCTTAAGCCTTTAAAATATTTACTGCATCTTTTTCTGTGAATCAGAAACCACATGAACCATCAAAAAAGCCCTAATGGTAATAAGCTCTCCCAGGCCAGTGGTCTAACATTTTTTTTTAGTTTAAAACTAAACAGAAGCAAAAATATTCAAATAAATTGCTAGACTGTGTTGCTACTAAAAAAATATAAATCTGTTTTGTGCAGTTTGTTCTTTTCAGGAAAAGGTTTTGTTGGAAGGATGCTAATGAAATTAGACCCTGGGATTCTGTTGAATACTAAGTTCTTGCAAACAAATATGTCTGTTTTACTTTAATAACTGCTTCAGAAGATTGCCTTAGATTTGCCTCTATTCTTTTCCACTTTCTCTTTCTCCCTCCCTTCCTAGTTTGAGCCACTTTCCAGTCACAAGAATAGTAATTCTGTTCACATTACTGTTACAGCCATCACAATCCTCAAGTGGTTAAAAGCATTGTGTCCTGTGAATAAAACAACCTCTACTGCCCTTATTTTGCATTATTCTTCACTTACAGAATAGTTACCAACCGACATGGTGTTTAATAGGGAGTAGGTAACATGGATTTCTAAAACTGGATTTTTTTCTTTTTAATTTCTTCAATGCCTTCATAAAAATTCTCTCTGAGGTCAGGGAATAAGCAAAAAAAAAGGAAAAGAAAGAAAGAAAGAAAAATAGGAAACTTATTCATGGTTTCTTCGTTCTCGAGAACATAACTGATGATATTAACTATAAGGATATAAATTCACTGATTCCACTGAATTAAACTCTATTACAGTGGGTCAATAAGCTTTGAGCAAACCAGAGCTCTAATCAGAATCATTTTCATAAGGCCTCCATTAGCTGTAACAGTCATTCATGTAAGAAACCATTTGACTCACTGTCACCTGCAAAGCCTGGCACATTGAGAGACATTTTCTGCAACCTACCCATCTCCTGCTTCCAGAGACCCACAATCATTCATACATAGGAAACAAGGTTGATATGAACACAGAATATATTCTACGGAGAAGAAGAATTTATAAAAATGCAGCTTGGAGGAAGAAGAGCCTCCTCTATTTAGGTGACCAGGAGCAACTGTGTACCTGTGAGCTCTAGGTTTATCCCTCAAGGATAGAAAGCTAAATTCATCATCTTCATGAATCAGTACCAACCAGGACTGCCATCCTTCTGGGAAAAATACCTTGACTCCTAAAAATAATCCAGGTGAACTATTAACCTTAAAATACTTTTGCTACATAAGATTTTTATTTCATATTTTTACTGTTTATCCATGGGTTCCACATTTTAAATTCAACCAACATGTATAGAAAATATGTTTTAAAAAAGAGTTGCATATCTACTAAATGTAAACAGACATTTTCTGGTTGCTATTTCCTGAACAATACTGTGAAACAACTATCTGCATAGCATTTCTATTGCACTAGGCATTAGAAGTAATCTAGAGATAATTTAAAGTATTCTGGAGCATCATGATATGAGTGAGGTACTACCATCCTTGACACCAGGTATTTGGCACTGGAAAAAAAGGAATTGAATATCTGGAGTAGAGGTATGTTGAGGTCTTTCAAAGCCTAAAATTGTTAAGAGTTTTCTAATTAAAATGAAAAGTCCATTGAAATATTGTACAAATTTTAATTTCCAATCATAATCCACTAAAGCAAAAGCTTCCGGGGTCCTTTTTCATTCTCACTCTGAAAGTGAAAAATGTCCCAGCTGGAGATGACTGCTGGGGGTTATGTCTAGGCCTGACTGCACTATTTCTTGTTCTGACCTCACAAAAAGCCATTATAAGGGAATTTCAAATACTGGGGCTTAGTTTTAGTCCATAAGTACAGGAAGCTCTTCATGGTGACCTGTTGGACTCCAAGATAGTGCGTTTGGTTGTGGGCGTTTGGCGGTTGGTGGCTGTGGTCTTTGGATACTGGTTCCTTTTTGATTTTGATCAATTGTTTTGGCTTGTCTTTATTTATTCATTTACTTTTTTATGTATTTCTTTTTAGCTAGCATCTTTAGTTGGGGTTCCTGATTAGGATGTGTAGCAAGAGGAGTCAGACTAATATAGTGTTGCAGGGGTCCAGCTCCTCTGATGAGACGGCCTTCACAGACCGTTATGAAGTTCTGAGGGCCATTGGACATGGTGGGTTTTCCCAGGTAAAACTAGCCCGCCATCTCCTCACTGGGGTGGAGGTGGCGGTGAAAGTCCTTTCAAAGAAAAAAGAGAACTTCTCGGGACACGCTGAAGCAAATGTCATGATGGACCTGGAACATCCCAATGTGATCCAGCTATTTCAGGTTATTGAAACTGGTCAACATATTTACATTGTGATGGAGCATGCAGATGGGGGACAGCTACATGACTACATAAAGTCAGGTGGCATGCAGGAAGAAGAGGCTCGAAGACTATTCAGGCAGATTGTGTGTGCGGTGGGCCATTGCCACAAGAAAGACATCGCACACCGAGACCTGAAGGTTGAGAACATCATGCTGGATGCCAGAGGCAACATCAAACTCCTTGACTTTGGCATAAGCATGAAATTCAGACCTGGGCAGAAACTCAGTGGGTTCCAAGGCACTCTCCCTTATGTTGCCCCCGAAATCATCCAGCGGCAAGAATATGAGGGCCCCCTGGTGGATGCCTGGAGCCTAGGTGTCATTCTGTTTTATATGTTGTCAGGGAGACGCCCATTTAGGAAGATCTTCCCCTGGGACCTGGCAAGGCAGATTGTGGAGGCAAGGTACCACATTCCTGATCATGTTCCCACCCAAGCAAGAAGACTCATCCGTAAAATGCTGAACAAGAACCCTGCACATCGGCCCTCAGTAGAGGAGATCCTTCAGCACCCATGGCTGAAGGAAGGTGAAGAGTATTCTGCCCATCAATTTAGTGAGCCACAACCCAAACACCCAGACCCAGCACTAATGACAATCCTGTTTGACATGGGTTATAACCCATACAGAATCTGGGTGTCCCTAGCCAATAGAAAGTTTGATGATTCCATGGCCACATACCTGATTCTCCAGCACCAGGTGAGCCAGGGCTTCAAGATCCAGGTGAAGCCTGGGTGTCAGAGGGTTTGGCCTCACCTACAACCCACGGATCATTCCAATTTCCCTGACCTTCCCAAGAAGTGTTCTAGTGAGCCTGTACTCCACATCTTCCCCTTGTCCTGTGAGCATCAGCTGCCTGAGGACGCCAAGCAGCCAGGAAACAAGGGCATCAGAAGATTCAGCCTGACTCTCACTGATCTCCACTACCTATGTGCCTCCCAGCATGACTCTGGGTCCCACATGCCCAACTCCAGTAAAATCTTCATTAGGGATGTCTCAACAGCAGATGGCAGCAATTTCTCCCAAGATACCTCCAGAGGGCAACCCCAGGACAACAACAAAGCATGGAAGAGGGTGACCAGGAGGATCGCTGCCTGCTTTCAACAACTGTGTTGTTGCATGCCCTGTGTCAGCAGAACAGTGGCTCCCATCCAAGAAGGGTCAAAACGTGGGAGATTCAAAAACAGAGTAGTACCAATGTAAATGCAGACAAAATGAATAGACAGCCAGCCATTGGATCCTATGCTCTGTGGATTCTGACATCATGGGGTAGGCATCAGGCACAGGGACTCTAAACAGCTGCAGGATCCAGGTAGGGATATGGCTCAGGCTTCTCTGCACCAATCCATCTAGGGGCACCTCTGGATCCACCTGGACTCTTCTGCTCCCACTTGTGAGAGACATCAGAGACTGTTTTTCCTGGGACACATCCCCCTGCCCTGTTCTGTCTGTTTTCCCATGCTTCTGGCATGGCAGGGATGTTTCTTAAAAAAAAAATGGTTTCTTGCTTTTGTATAATAAAATTGATGTTCAAAGATTTTTTAAAAGTTGACTGTCTCAGGAATTTTCTTATAGTAACAGACAGCTGACTAACATACTAGATGTTTAATATCTGGCAAATAGTTAAATTTCTATGTATTTCACTTTCATCACTGGTTATTAGGGATACCTACCTCATAGGGTATTTTGAAGATAAATGAATTCATACACATGAAATGCTTAAGCATCACTAATCCTAACCCATGTTGAGTACCATGTAAGCATTTACTCTCTGATTTATTATTACTCTAAGTAATTCAGCAAGCAGGCTGAAAGGACTAGAGAATCGGAGTTTATTTCCATGCTCTGCCACCAACTACCTCTGAGTGCTAGTTTTGATATCTCTATGTTTCTGTCTTTACATCTGTAAAATAAGTATGTAGGCCAAATGGAAAAGCTTCAGGATTAAAAATACTGCAACAATTTACCTGTCCCTCCAATTCTTCCCTTTCAAAATGAAAATGTATGGGATTGTTGCAATTAAGAAATTATACTATGAATATGTAAGCACCATAAATGCAAAACAAATGTAATGCTGGTTTACGGTATAGTTGTCGGGTGTATTCAATACTGCATTCATGATGAAAACATTCCAATATTAATTACCAATGAATAAGTCCCAACTACATTGCAAATATAAAATTAAGTGGGCATAAAAGAAAATAAGACAACTACAGAATTTTTTAATAAGATGGTTTGCCTGATGACCCAGGGTTTCTTCTTTTACCTCTCTTCTCACTGCTCACCTTTGCTTCCTCTCAAACTTCCTGTTCTCACTCAAGGAATCATGTGTTTCCAGAACTGGAAGCATCTTTCTTGATTTCCTTAAAATTGAATACTCTCCCATCCTTTCTGAAAATTAGATTTTTCATTTGTTTCCTTCTATTATAGTAAATTATTGACTTACTGATGGGGTAGGTTTAGCTGAGCCACGGGGATATTTAATAGATTGGTTAAAAAAAATCTGTAAATGATGGAGCTCTGTGAAGAGTATATGCAGGAAACATGAAATTAATCTGTGGCAGTTGATTGTGTGGGCTTTCCCTACCTGCTTTTATCATTTGAGTGAAAATATAGGTTAAAATTTCAAAATACTGAAATATTTACATAAAAAATATAGTGGCCCTATAAATATATGATCATAGCATTTTAAAAGTCAAAAGGAACTTAAAGCTTATCTAGGCAAAATCTGATGATTTAAATAATAATTGGATTATGTGATAAGAACATGCTTTGCCTCTGTACTATTCTTTCCCAAATCTTATAACTCTAGTCTTATCCTAAGAGGAACATCAGACAAGGCCAGATTGGGCAAAATTCTTTCAGGATGCCTGGTTGGCTTTCCTTCAAACTGCTAAAGGCATGAAGAACAAGACTGAGAAGCTGTTGTAGGACAAAGACAACTGGTGAGATGAGATAAAGTATCAAATGTAGTTCCCTGGGTTGAATCCTGGAGCAGAAAGACGACATCTATGGAAAGACTTGTGAAATCCAAAGAAAGGTAGAGCCAAGCACTAACTGGAGGATCTTGGTCCCCCTAGAAACCTCTGAACTCAGGACTGTGGGACCTCCTGCCTGGATGAGAGCAGGGTGCCTTCCTTCCCTTTCCAAACTTTCTCACCTCCCTTCTCTCCTAAAACACCTACTTATGACTCTCAGATCATCTGATGATACAGTCTGTCACCCCTTCCCCACCACTGCCACTCTCCTTGAGCTCTCTCTCTTTTTTTAAACTGATGACAAAACTTTTATTTCTTTTTATTTTACAAATAAAAACTTTTATTATTTTTTATTTGTAAAATAAAAAGTGCTATCAAACAATAAAATTAATCTGTTACTGTATCCCATATGACAAATGAGAGAATGAACAATTCCAACAAAAGCATTCCAACAATCTTCTCTCTGAGCTTGAAAGCAGCACTATTCAACCTGTTTTCCATAAATATTCTGTCATCAAACCTATCATTCACCCAATTTTCCACTGTCTTCATGTCAGGTGGGTTTTTTTTTTCAACAATATCGATAATTAGTTTAAACATAAATGAACTAGATACTATAATTAAAATATATAATGTTCAACGTGTAAAAAGCAAACAATAATTATATGGTCTCTACATATGCTATACTTTAAATATGATTACACCAATTGGATAAAGATGGGGAAAGTCAGCATGAGAAATCTGAAATAGAGGAAATTGCGACTTTGCAAAAATTTTTAGGTGTATATTCTACTCCCCATTCTCACCATTAATCAGACTAAAGGCCGCTAGTTGTATCCATGATGGGGATGGAATGCTGTGATCTCTTGAAATTTCCTCCACCACATTAATTAATCCATCACTTTTAAATTCAGCTTCACACAGAGTCTTGGGATGTGGGCAAAATATCATCAAGTTCTCAAAACCAAATCTGTTTCAGTTAGCTTTTTTTCCCTCACTGTAACTAACATCTACTCTGGCCAACAAGAATGAAATTTGAGAATGAAATTTGTCCAGGGCTAATGATTTCAGTGGCCTCAGTCCACAGATGGCCAAATCCATTCCTCTGGGCTCCAGATGAGGCAACTGATCATGTGCCAAGAGCTCAGCCTAGGAAAGCTTCTTACCTTGGGGCAGGAAGAAAGCAGAGACAGGGGGAGGGACTGCAGGGAAGAACTGCCTTTCCTAGCCTAGACCCCTGTCACCCAACTCCTCTCGTATTCCACCTGTCTCCAGTTCCCACTCTGTCAATGCACTGAAACTAGGAAGGTTGGCTTATTTTAGGGCTCTCATAATCTAATCATTTTACCTTTGAATTTTCCTATAATAAGATAGGAGCTTGTGTGGGTGTGAGGAAAGCCAATCTACTTGGGACACTGAGGATAGAAACTAGCCTGAGCACATTAGCAAGATCTTGTCTGAAAATACAAAGGCTGGAGATGTACTTCTGTGATAGAGCAAAAGCCTAATATTTGCAAGGCCCTGCATTCAATCAACAGAACATTTAAGTAAAAACAAAAAGTGCTTAAGGGAATTAGTTTCAACCTTCTGCCTCTTCCATCCTGTCAGGATACACCAACACAATGCTTTGACCTTGAATTTGCCAGTGTACAGAAATGTGATAAATTAATTTCTGTCAATAAATTACCCAGTTAAAGGTATTCTGTCACAGCAGCTTGAGAACACCTCCATTTCTTGTCCCCATGGGAAGGACACTTTTACTGGTTAAAACCAGCATTCTTGGATTACATGTTTTGTCCTTTATTGTTTTGAATGTATCAACCCACTTGATACATTGCATTCCAGAGTTTCTAATGAGAAATCTGATAAAGATCTTATGGGGATCTAGGATAAGCCTTTCCTCCCTCTCAACAGCAAAGGTATGAATACTATGCTCTACGGGGAACAGAATATTTTTATGCATAGGCACATCATTTTATGGAAGGGTCAAGATCATCAGAGAATTTTTGAGTCCAAGAGGATGTTCTCATATCAATCCCCTGAAGTTACTGAAGGATGATGTCCTCATACCAATTCCTTAAGGATACTAAAGGATGACTAAGTAGCTTTCCTCAAAAATACCATCAGTAAAACCATTTACTACATGGGAAATTGTTCAACACTATCCAAGGTCTTCATACTGCACAACTGAAAAGGTCCTGGTACATTTTTAATAATCATTAGTGTTAGAACAGGGAAGACGGGAGAAAGCACCAACTTGATAAAGTTCTGAATATCTTCAGGAAAAGAGAGAGAGGGACCCAGGGGAGGATATGCAGGGGCAAGACAGTGAATAATGTAGGCAAGCAGTTCTCATTTGCTGGGCAAAAGCTATAACTTTACAAAAGTTTGTAGAAATGAATGTATTCAAAAGTAAAAATGCAGATCAAGAAGAATGAAGTAGAGATAATAGAAAAATTGAAGTAATCAAAAGGAAAAAAGGTTAGCCAGTGGGGTGCAGTACCAACATACTATGCACATGGTGAGTGGCTAGGAAACCTAAAACCTCTTGCTTAGAAGTAAGGAGATGTGAAAGTGCTGCTCACTGTCCCTCGAAGTCCCACATGTGGAGTCACAGCTAAGCTTTAATTCCCATAAGCACTGAAGATTGATATGTACTGTAAAATCTGTATTGTGTTACGATGAACTGAGGAAAGAGGAAGGCTTAGGGATAATAATAGTAATATATAATAAGCAAGATGAGTACAGATTTTGATTCTGAACCTACTAGCCCTGGCAAACTGCCATGGTTGGTATAACAACGCCAGTTACTAGATGGCATTTCTTTTTTTCCTGTTAATTTTGCTTTTAATTAGTATAAATCAGCCACACTCATAAACATGGTTTTCTTGGATTTATGTTAATGGAAAATATAATAGTAAACCATACAAAAAAATGTAAAAACAGAGAGAACTTTCAGCTTAATTAAATCAAACAAATATTAACTGAATATATATATACAAACATAATGGGCAAAGTATGGATAAACACCTAATAAAGGTGACATTTTCTCTGAGCAATAATAACTCTCTAGATGAGTTCCTCATGCTTATATTGAACTTGATCTCCAATGTGCAATGTACTAGGAGTTGAACCCAATTAGGATCAAAAGCCCTTAAAACTTGAATAGATACTTGTGCATGAACATTCATAGCAGCAGTCTTTACAAAAGAAGAAATGTGTAAATAACCCAAGTTTCCATCAATTGATGAATAGATAAAATCAGTCTATATATTAATGGAAATAATTCAACCACAAAAAGGAATGGATTTTGATATATGCTACAATATGAATTGATCTTGAAAATACCATGCTTAGTGAATTACACCAGAAGTAAAATATACAGATGTTTAGATGTGATACTTACTGATAGCAAATTCATAGAAAATAAAATAAAGGTTGCCAGGATCTGGAGGAGAGAGAAGTGAGGTTTTGTACCTTTTGTTTAAAAGGTACA